CTCTTCCCTCCTGCACCCACTTTCCTGTAACCACAAACTTCAGCTGAACACTCTAAACACTAATTTTTAAAACCTACCCCATACCTCTCGACCCCATTGCCTATGCTCTCATTAGCCCATATATTCCCCAATAGTGAGCTGTTTATTCCTACCCTAAACTGCCTCCTCTTTTAGTTATAAACCTTCAACTCTCTCTTCCTGATGCTTCTATTCTCACTGGTGTCCCATCTCTTTTAACTCTCAGTGTAGCTACAACTAGAAAGGGATCTGATATATCTGTGGCCCCTCTATAAACATGTACTCCTGAAGTCTACTCCAACAGTCTTTTATCTACCCAATACATATCCAACAAAACTACTGTCATTTGCCCTACATCATATCTGGTATACCTTATTTATCCCTCTTTTTCTTTAAAAATATGTATTACCTCCATAACTAATCCCCTTTCTATACAAAGTTCAATCAAAGGGCTCCCATTATCAATTTACAACCTGGCACCCAAACTTACCTACACACCCTCTCTAAAAGGTTTCTCCTACTTTAGCATTCAGGTCCCTTACCACAATTACTCTCTCACTTGGTTCAAGGCTCCTATACATTCACTTAACATTCCCAAATCTCTCTCTCTCCTCTCATTCCTTTATCCAGGTGCATACACGCTTATTATGACCCACTTCTCGCATCAACCTTTACTTTAATCCACGTAATTCTTGTATTTACCCCCAACAATGTTCATATCTCTTTCTCCTTCCATAACTGATTCATTAACATTATGCTACCCCTCTTTGCTCAAAAACTCTCTCAGATACTCCAGATTTAATCCCATTTTTTCCCCCCACTGAAAACTCTCCTACCCCTTCAGCTTTGTTTCGCTTAGGGTCAGGACATTCCAACTTCTTTTTCATTCATAACATCAGCAATCATCTGTTTCTTGTCATCCGCACTACATACTCGCACATTTAAGCATCCTCCAGTTTATAAAGTTTTTCTTCTTCTCTTTTTTAGTAAATGTCTACAGGAGAAGGGGGTTATAGCCCATTGCTCACGGCATTTTTAGTCGCCTCATACGCACGCATGCTTACGGAGGAAAGATTCTTTTCCACTTTCCCCATGGACAATAGAAGAAATAAAGAAGAACAAGAGCTATTTAGAAAAAAGGAGAAAAATTGATGTATGTATATAGTATATATATATGCATGTGCGTGTCTGTGAAGTGTGACCAAAGTGTATGTAGGAGTAGTAGCAAGATATCCCTGTTATCTAGGTGTTTATGTGACAGAAAAGAAACCAGCAATCTACCATCATTGCAAAACATTTACAGGTTTCTGTTTCACAGTCATCTGGGGCAGGGACGGTAGTACTTCCCTGGGTGGTTGCTGGCTCCAAACTACTACTCATATATATATAATTATATATATATTTATATATATATTTATATATTATATATTTATTATATTTTTTTTTTTTTCAACAAGTTGGTCGTTCTCCCACCGAGGCAGGGTGGACCCAAAAAAGAGAAAGAAAATCCCCAAAAGATAAATACTTTATATCATTCAAACCACTTTTCACCACCACTCACACATTATCACTGCTTTTGCAAGAAGTGCTCAGAATACACAGTTTAGAAGCTATCGTATAAAGCTTACACAAACTATTCCCTCCACCCAAACTGCCAATATCCAAAACCCCTCTTTAAAGTGCAGGCATTGTACTTCATTTGCAGGACTCAAGGGTCCGGACTATTAAGAGAAAATAACCGGTTTCCCTGATTTTTTTTTTTTTTTTTTTTTTTTTTTCACCAAGTCTGCCGTCTTCCACCGAGTGCAGGGGTGACCCAAAAAAGAAGAAAATCCAAAAAGAAATTATTTCATCTTCATTCAACAATTTCACCACACTCGACATTATCACTGATTTTGGCAGAGGTGCTCAGATACAACAGTCTAGAAGCATACACATTTAAAGATACAAACATATCCCTCCAAATGCCATTAGCCCAACCCCTCCTTTAAAGTGCAGGGCATTGTACTTCCCATTTCAGGACTCAAGTCGACTATATGAAAATAACCGGTTTCTGAATCCCTTCACTAAATAATCCCGCTTCACACTCCAACAGATCGTCAGGTCCCAAGTTTTCCATTCGTCTCCATTCACTCCTATCTAACATGCTCACGCCCACTTGCTTGAAGTCCAAGGCCACCTTGCCCACAAACCTCTCCTACCCCCTCTCTCCAACCCTTTCGAGGACGAAACCCTTACCCCGCCTTCCTTCCCCTATAGATTTATATGCATTTCCTGTCATTCTACTTTTCATACATTGCTCTAAATGACCTAACCACCTCAACAACACCACAGTATATATATATATATTTTATTCTATTTTTTATTATCACCACTGGCCGATTCCCACCAAGCAGGGTGGCCGAAAGACCATCTTTCTCCACATTCACTCCATCACTGTCTTGCCAGAAGGGTGTTTACACTACAGTTTTTAAAACTGCAAACTTTAACACCCCTCCTCAGAGTGGCAGGCACTGTACTTCCCATCTCAGGATCAAGTCCGGCCTGACGGGTTTCCGGAACCCTTCATAATGTTACTTTGCTCACACTCCAACAGCACGGTCAAGTATTAAAAACCAATTCGTCGCCATTCACTCCTATCAAAACACGCTCACGCACGCCGGCTGGATGGAAAAGTCCAGCCCCTCGACACACAAAAACCTCGTATTACCCCTCCTCCACCTTTCCTAGGCCGACCCCTACCCCGCCTTCCTTCCACTACAGACTGGTACACTCTTGAAGTCATTCTGTTTCGCTCCATTCTCTCTAATTTCCGATACCACCTCAAACAACCCTTCCTCAGCCCTCTGGACAACAGTTTTGGTTAATCCTGCCACCTCTCCTAATTCCAAACTATGAATTTCTGCATTATATCACACCACACATTGCCCTCAGACATGACATTCTCCACTGCCTCCAGCCTTCTCCTCGCTGCAACTATTCATCACCCATGCTTCACACCCATATAAGAGTGTTGGTAATAAAACTATACTCTCATACATTCCCTCTTTGCCTCCAAGGGACAAGTTCTTTGTCTCCACAGGCTCCTAAGTGCACACTCCTTTTTTCCCCTCATCATATATATATTATATATATAATATATATATATATTTATATATCCTATATATTATATATAATAGAGATATATATATATATATATATATATATATATTTATATATATATATATTACATGTATTTTTTATAATATATATATATTATATATATATTATATATATATTAATATTTATATATTATATATTATATATATATATATATAATATATATAACAGGCCTAGTATCTAATCAACATGGTAACACACACACACACATAAACAGCACACACATGCACTACAAAAACCTAACCTATAAAAAATCGTGGCTCAGAGGGGAAGTCGAAGGCTCAGGGGATTAGAGGAAGATGGTCCTGGTAAGGCTGCATGGATGGAAAAGCAATGTAAAAGGATGGAGAGAGCTGTTAGGAGCAGGGATAGCAGTAAGTGAAGGGGGAGAAGGTGACAGGTCCCATGTAGAGGCACTACCCTGCCTCCAAGACAAAATAAGGGAGACAATGGCTATGTACAAACAGGACCCAGTGAAACAGGGAAAGGCAATGGGAGGAAGAGAGGGAGAAATCAGTGTTTATTCATGGGCTTCAGGAGAGCAAAGGGAGGACACATAATGAAAGATGGCAGAAAGAAAAACAGGAGATTGAAAACATCAAAGAAATAGGTGAGGAGGATATGACTGAAACAGTAAATTTTCAGAGCATAGGAGGGTACTTGAAGGGCAGAAACTGGCCAGTCAGACTGATTTTCAGGACAGAAATGGTGCGGACCAGGATCCTACAAGAGAAACTATGGCTGAAGGAATTGTCAGTATACAAAAGGGGTTTCTCGACTGTGACAGATCAAGAACAGGATGACAGCAGCTGAGGGAGAAGACACAGAAATGACAGGGGCTAGGAAGAGAGACAAGGACAGAGTCCACAGAGGACAACCAGAGCTGGGCAGAGCAACAAGTACAAGCACACACAGAACCACATACAATCATACACATACATCCATAAAAGGAGCATTAATTATAATAGATTTAGCTTGTAATAAAGGAAAAAGCAGTGAGGTCAATGTGAGGTCAATTATTATTATTTTCTTGGGGAAGTGCTAAACCCATAGGGGTTATAGAGTTCTGGGGAAATAGGAGGTATCATGTTTGATTCCAGAAAGGGAAGGGTAGCTCCACTTAAGGTAAGAATAAGCCAGGATGAACAACAACATCAGAAGGATTAGCCTTTCCTTGACCCTGTTGCTTTTCTTTTCATATCAGCTTGATGACTGCCTGGTCAGTTAGGCTGGAAATTTTTGCTAGAATTAATGTGTTGCTGTGATATGGCTGCCACTGGGTACTGTACAACATGGCTCCAAGGTAATAGTACAGTCTTGTCGTTCTGAGTCACTGAAACAGCCCCTGGTTCTGTGGGCATGGATGCAATTTTTTTCCATGGTGGCTTGGTTGTTCATGAGGCTTACCCTGCCAGACAAGCCTGATACAGGTTGCAAGAGTAGGAATGTTCTCAAAATCTTTAAATGGAATATCAAAGGTAAAGATGCCTGTTAGTCTTGTTTTTTTTTTTTTTTTTTTTTTTTAGTTAAATTATCTCACATGTTTTGGGGTGGAAAATTTTGTGGGAATTGGAATGGCATTTATGTTGGATAAGGAAATCATTGCATTTGCTAGGTTGATCATGCCTATATTTTCCATTCATTTTTCCTTGTAAATTTGGAGAAACAATCATCCTAAAGTTCTCTCCTTATTTTATTGTTTCTAAATCAAGCAGTGAAAATGTATAGTTTATAATTTTTGTATAACAATGATAAAAATATGTTAATCCTTAAGGATGCTATAACTTAGTAACACTTTTTGCCATTTTTAACCAAATTTTCAGAGGAAACCCCCTATCTAATGGTAATGAAGGGAAGCCAGATAGTGGATGTTGCACTTACACCTGGGGAGAAAGGTGCTGCAGGATTCCTCACACCCATTGTGGGAGTGGAAAATGGACTCCAACTAGATTATGACCGTAACAATGAACGAATTTTCTGGCTTGAAGCCATTGCAAAGGATAGTGAAAATGTAAGTTATACCAAATTTCAAGGAAAAGTTAAGTTGGTGCATTTTTGTGTGTGTGTGTGTGTGTGTGTGTGTGTGTGTGTGTGTGTGTGTGTGTGTGTGTGTGTGTGTGTGTGTGGTGTGTGTGTGTGTGTGTGTGTGTGCACGTGCATGCGTGCATGCATGCGTGCATGCATGTGTGCATGTGCAATGTAACACACGTGTGATACACATATCAAAAAAACTTTTCTGTGTAGATACTTATCTGTGTCTAGGAGTTATAGAACTAAAATTAACAATATTTGAGCCACTTAAGTTTAGTACAGTATATTAGTATATTAACTGATTTATTTTGTTAGTGTTTTGATGAATTTTTTTTTTCCAGGGTACAATCTATACAATGAATATTGGAGGTGGTAATAGATCAACTTACTTGGATTTGGGAATTGTTGGATCTCCTTACACTATGGCCTGGGATTGGGTTGGTCAAAATATGTTTATTGGAAACCGTGTTGCCAACAACCTTGAGGTCCTGAAACTGGATGGCAAGAACAAATACCAGAGTGTGATCCTAGACAACACTGGTAACGCCACTGGTGTAGGCAGACCCAAATCTATGTGTCTTGATCCTGTGGATGGGTAAGTCAGAGAAGATTATTGTAATATGGTGAGGCACCATTGTTGCCATAAGAGAGTGGGAGATATGAAGTCCAAGCATCTATACATATATTTCTAAGTATATGTGAACATGGAGGCTGTTCCTGCACCTTGAAAGTCTGGAAATATAAACACATATGCAGTATAATGTGATCCTTTATTGACTACGTTTCGCCCACACAGTGGGCTTTTTCAAGTCACAAACAGAACTACCTGGGGTGGAAGTTCTGTTTGTGACTTGAAAAAGCCCACTGTGTGGGCGAAACGTAGTCAATAAAGGATCACATTATACTGCATATGTGTTTATATTTCCATTGTGTCGGTATTTTATACCATTTATTTCCACCTTGAAAGTCTAGTGGGAGATGATGTGGTTTGGAGGACCATGATTTCATCATGATGTCTGTACTATTTTCAAAAAAAAAAAAAAAAAAATTGGGAAGAAATGATCATGAGTCATTTTTTTTTTTGTTGCTAGGACAGCCTACCTTGTGGGTAGAAGGTTGATATGTTAAAAAATCAGATAATGTTCTTTTAAATTTAAAATAGTTATTTTGTGTCGGATTTTTTGCAGACATGATGTAGCTAGTGTTAAGTCTAGATGGAGTTATAATGTTTGATTTTAGTTCCAGTGGCTTAAACTAGATTTATTTATCTTAAATTGTTATTAGGTATTCCCTGAGAGGGAAAATCTCTAGTTGATGTCAGAACGTTTTCTTCTCCAAAGTTTTAATGCAATAATTTGAGAATGCCTCTTCTGACTCCAAACTTTCAGTGTTGGTATATTTTACTTAGTGGGAGGTTCACATTGTTTTGGACTATGTAGGTTCCAATATATGAATTCAATATTAAATACTGTGAGTTTTTTTTCTGTCTAGTAACTTGAGAATTCCTCTTCTGAATAGCTTTTAATTTACAATGCCAAGTTATCTAAATAATAGGAAGGTTCAGGTTAGTTTTAGGATAAATAAAATTGGCAAATTTTCCAATTTTATATTTTATAGCCAATCAGAAAAGACTTTTTCCAATATTTTGAAAATGCCTTTTCTGATTGGCTTTAAACTTTCAACACTGGTATATCATTCTTAGTGGAAGGTTTGGATTGGTTTTGGCTTGTGTAGGTCCCAATTTGCCAGTTTTATTGAACAGGTTAGGATACAGTACTAGCTTAAGTGCCGTAACTTTTGAATTCTTCTCTATGTCAGCTTCAGAATTTCATCACTTCTGTATCTTTAACATTTCATCACACAGACAATGGAGAAATTTGGATGAGCTTCTAGTATGTTATAGATTGGCCCATTCTAAGACATTTTTATCTTTATAACTTTTCCTAATATCTATTGTAGTTTTTTTATGAATTGTTGAAGGCGAGTCCAAACAGTCATTATTTCCATTTATGAGTGATTGGTAACCACTTGCTTCCAAGTCTGAAAGTACAGTGTCACATCTCATCTCTTCACTCCATTTTGGGAAGGAGTTGGGTCTATTTGATTGGTTACATGAGGACGACAATGAGTTCCCCTATTGGTTTGAGGTTATTGAAAAATATTAATTTTAAAGTTTGAGCTCTGAAACCTTTCCAGATGTGAGCCTTTAATGGAATCTGGGAATGCTAAAGGGTTAAAGGAAGACATGGAATTGTATTGGCTTTTAAGTGCTAATTTGCCAGTTTTGTTACAAAGAATTTGGAGCACCAAGGAACTGGATATCAAGCTGAAATGTTAAGCTGTCATACAGAAAGAACAAAAATGCACAATTCTATGACTGGAACAATACACAAATAACCCGAAATGTCATCATAAGCTTCTTATCCTATATGTGGGTTATTTATGTATTGTGTAAATTGTCATACAGCTTTAACCCTTTCAGGGTCCAGAGGCCAAATTTCAAAGTGTGCACAAGTGTCCAAGAATTTTCAAAAAATAATTTTCTTAATTTTTCTTATGAAATGGTAGAGAATCTTTTTCTGAAGCTAATACTAAAACAAAAAGTACAAAATTTGATGGAAAATTGACAAAATTATGCTCTCGCGAATTTTGATGTGTCAGCGATATTTACGCATTGGCGATTGTACCGACTTTGACTCCCATTTTAGGCCAATTACATTATTCCATTCAACCAAATTCTTAGCTATTTCACTAGTATTACTTCTATTCTATCGATTGAGCACAAGAAATCACCAAGTCAACTGTTTCAACTATAAAATAAAGTGATTGGAAATTGGTAATTTGGCCAATTTAATGCAAAGTTAAAAATATTCCAATTTCAAAATAGGGTCCATAATAAACAATGTAGGCATTCCTGGCACTAAACTAACATTTCCTCTGTTCATTATTTACGTTTTCAGGCTTTACAAATGAATTCCATTTTGATTTTTTATTCACATAATGAATTTTTATTCAAACCAAAAAATAGAAGATTTACTGTTATGCAATATTGTAATAATTGTACAAATAATATCACCACATTTGTGAATGTATATTAGATCCACCAGCTGGTGTATATTAGATGTGTGAGATCATTTGTTTACTCTTGAACATCGGCAAAAATTTAACATTTCTGCTACTTTGAGCTCAGTTTCAAGCCATTACCAGTACTAAAACCAGTCAAAATCATCTCTTTTTCTGTAATATATCTTCCATTCTATCAAATGAGACCAAGAAATTGCAAATGCACTGTGTGCTGCAGGATTTGTTTTATGTGGTGTACACATACCACATAGATGTATTCTCTCATATGTAGGCCCAAATTTACCACTCACAGCTTATCAGAGTGAGCTGAGCTCATGGCGTAGATCTACAGTTTGGACCCTCAGTGTAAAGCCATAGATCTACGGCATGGACCCTGAAAGGGTTAAGTGCTGTACCATATTATTTTTTGCACAATTTCCTTTAGCTATTTACGAGATATTAATTTTTATCTTTCACCTTGCAACAGTTTCCAGAAACTTTTAACTCAAACAACTGCTGTAAGTTTCATAGAAATCAGACTGATCATTCTGATGGTTTCTATGATATAAAGCAAAATTAACCAGAATAAAACTGTATAGACATGTTGCACTGTGTTTCCTCTGAAGGGTTTCATATTATCAGTGATTGACTGGGTTGAGCTTCAGCTCTTGGGTAACTACGTACCCTTTTTTAGTATAGTTTATCTCTTAGTCTAGGCTGCCCAAAATGGTGTATCTACTATGTGTGTTTATATTTTGAAAAAATAATTGCTTTTGATTTGAGTCGACTTGATGTTGATTTACAACTCTGGTTTCTTTTGATGGTATTAAGTTATGGGTGCAAAGTTTCTTAAACACATTGAGCTGTATATCTTGGGTCTCTTGAGACTGTTGATCTCCAACTCCTGGATTTTTTTGTAGCAATGCACTCGTTTACTGACGACTTAGACTTACAACGGGCTCTCTGAGCAGTATGCATACCTAAATAATGTATATTAGAGCTGATTTCCTCTATTCTGTTTATTACAATATACAATACACTGTTGTATAAACATTTAAAAATATACTAGAAATGTTATAAATGGTGCAAGGGTGACAAAACAATATCACAAATGGTTGACACAAACCCACTACCATACTACTTAGTGGTCCTAGGAATGGAACTCTATCGTTAAGTGAGGAGAGGTTGTATTGAGATATAGAGGGCAGGAATTATGGGATACTGAGAATGCATTCTTTTGGATCATTCAGTGATTAAAAGACATTTAGGTTTTTGCTTTTTGCCTGGCCTGGTAGGCATCGCTCTCACCTCACACACAGTGTCTGTGGTTCAGTCCCTGTCAAGGGTGGAAACATCGCATGTGTTCCCATACACCTGCTGTCCCTGTTGACCGACAAGTAAGTAGGTACCTGGGTGTTAGTTGACTGGTGTGGGTTGCATCCTGGGGAACAAGACAATGGAAATAAGACACAGTCCCTTGATAATGCACTGCCTTTCTTGGGTTATCCTGGGTGGCTAACCCACCAGGGTTAAAAATCCAGGCAAAATCTTATCTTAAACCTCCTAATTCCACCTGTTATGTTTTGCCAGTTTTTTCATAAATATTTTTAGAGCTTGCAATTGTTGTGGCACATTCAGTACTACTTCCTCTTATCCATTAATCAAAATTTTATTAAACTTTAATTCCTGTTTTATTTTCTGTATCTTTTTTTTTTTGCAACTTTTTCTCAATATTGTTGGTTGAAAAACAATCTCCTATTTTCTCCAACCTTATTTGAACACATCAAATTATCATATCTTCATCTTTAGATTTTCTTTTTATTAATGTCTTTTATAACCTTAATGTGAATTAATGTACACCATAACTATTATAATTGCATTTGATATTATAGGTTCTTATATTGGCTGGATGATGGTGGTGTTGGTGTTCCTGCTAAGGTTGGTAAAGTTGGAATGGATGGTAGCAATCCTGTCATCTTATACAACTTTACAAATCTTCAACCAGAAGTTATCACAATTGACATTGAAACAAAGACTTTATATTGGTCAACGAGTAATCAGGCACAGGCAAGTTCTCATTAGAGTTGTTTTTAAAACAGTTATGTAAAGAATGTGCCATATTTTTCCACTGTAGATACCACAAAAAATGTCTATGTATAGATACACACTTCATCGACGTACACATCAGTAGTGATTTTTCAGTACAAAAAGTGGGGTGAATTCTTGAGTCATCTAGATGTGGCTGGATGTTAATAGAGCATATTCACATTTATGTTAATTCCCAGGGCCTCACCACGGTAAATTAAATACCTTTATAAATACATTTCTGGTTCTCTGTCTTTTTTAGTGACTTACATTAATTAAGTATATTTACATGCAGCCAGGAGACAAAGTGATCCATGCCCAGGTAAAAATTATGATATCACTACTATTTCCATTATTCTGTATATATGTGTACATGTATGTTAAATATGAATATCATTGAACTATTTAAATAATAAGATACATTTTAAATACATATTTCTTTTTCTAGATAATGACAAGTGATGTATATGGAAGCAATGTAAAGACAATTCTTACAGAAACTAACAATATAGCTCGCCCTAAAGCTCTGGCTGTTTATGAGAGCAGTAAGTACACTTTCATTCCATTGAAATAAATTTAATCTCAATAAACATTTCATAATTATGGAGATACTGATAATTTTTTAAAATATTGAAGAGTGCCCTGTGGTGAATTAATTTTGATATAGACAAATTAATTTTTATTATGTATTTATTTTGTAAATCTTCATACCTCCATCTGCATATCAAAGGGAGTAGATAAATTACATTGCAAGTTTTAATTCACTTATGTATCCTCACCTTCCATTATGGTGTCCATTAGCTTTATTTGCTTAAACAGTATATTCCATAAATATTTCACTACTCACTCAGCAGCTGCTCATCTCTGATACTTGCATGTCCTAACTGTAGTCTCTGTCCTAACTGTAGTCTCTGTCCTAACTGTAATCTCTGTCTGTCTTTACTGTAGTCTCTGTTTCTTCCATTTGTGGTACACTCAGCTCTTCTAAAGCTCCTTTATATAGTGTGATTTTTTGTAAATGCAGTTGCAAAAGTGCATCCAAAATTTAATAGCATGTACTATGAAGGCCTTTCCATGTGCTGTTACATTTTTTATGTACTTTTTTTGATCATATATACAAAAAACTGGATTATATAGAGGAGCTTCAAAAGAGAGCTAACTGTATTCTGATGTACCATGCTATCTCAATACATTCACATATGAGTTTAATGCTTGTTTTTTAACATAATAAAAATAATAATAATAAAGATAATTTATTATTATTATTTTCCCAACTGGTCATCTCCCACTGAGGTAAGGCGACTTGAAAAAGAAGAAACACTTTTATTGTCATTTACGCCTCTATCTTCCTAGAAGTGTGTTGACATCACAGTTCAGGTGGCCTTCCAAACAGCAATCTCCCTGCTCATCTTTTTGTCTTCTCTTTATTGGTTTCTCATTCTACTAATCTCTCTGATGCCTTCATCCATAATAATATATAAAGAAATTTCAGCTGCCCTGTGCAAAAGCAGTACCTTTCCACCTCCAGAAATACAACATCTCCACCCATCCTTCAGAGTGCAAATACTGTTTTGGCTTTCTTGTATTATCCTGGGCTACAGTAATACCTTCTGAGGAATGTCTTCTTCTCTATTCTAAAACCAAGAATAGGTCGACTTATACATACTGTCAGCCAGTGTGTTATTCTACCCTCAGTTTTTACATACATAGTGTGTAAGGATAGCTTCAGGGGTTTGCTCCCAATAAGGACAGCTAGTCAATGATGGTGTATTGATTGATAGTATGTATAAGTTGACTTATTCTTGGGCTTGGAATAGAGAAGAAGACATTCTTTCAGACTATTATTCTGTAGCCCAGAATAATTCAAGAAAGCCAAAACAGTGTTTGCATTCTGAAGGATAGGTGGAGATGCTGCATATCTGGAGGTGGACAGGTACTTTTTTTGCACTCTGGAGAATGGGTGGGGATGTTGCAGTCCTGGAGGTAGGAAGTACAGTTCCTGCACTCTGAAGGATGGGTAGGGATATTGCAGTTCAGGAGGTAGGAAATGTAATTCCTGCACTATGAAGGATGAGTAGGAATGTTGCAGTTCTGGAGGTAGGAAGTGCAGTTCCTGCACAATGAAGGATGAGTAAAGAGGGATGTTGTAGTTCTGGAGGTAGGAAATGCAGTTCCTGCACTATGAAGGATGGGTAGGGATGTTGCAGCTCTGGAGGTAGGAAGTGCAGTTCCCGCACTATGATGGATGCATAGGGATGTTGCAGTTCTAGAAGTAGGAAGTGTAGGATGGGTGAGGATGTTACTGTTCTGGAGGTAGGAAGTGCAGGATGGGAAGGGATGTTGCTGTTCTGGAGGTAGGAAATGCAGAATGGGAGGGGATGTTGCTGTTCTAAAGGTAGGAAGTGCAGGATGGGAGGGGATGTTGCTGTTCTGGAGGTAGGAAGTGCAAGATGGGAGAGGATGTTGCTGTTCTGGTGGTAGGAAGTGCAGGATGGGAGGGGATATAGCTGTTCTGGAAGTAGGAAGTGCAGGGTGGGAAGGGATGTTGCTGTTCTGGAGGTAGGAAATACAGGATGGAAGGGGATGTTGCTGTTCTGAAGGTAGGAAGTGCAGGATCTGAGGGGATGTTGCTGTTCTGGAGGTAGGAAGTACAGTTTCATCACCTTGAAGAATAGGTTAGGATGTTGCAGTTGGAAGTGCCTTCAGCATCATGATGCTCATACATTTCTGTAACACAGCTAAAGAATAACAGATGGTGAATGTGTTTACTTTTTTGAGTCAGCCTACCTTAGTATGAAGTGGGTGGTGTATGAAAAAAACGTCTGTTATTGGTAACAGTGTTTTTCTAAACTAGATAGGGCTTGATGTACAGTTTAAGAGATTGAGATAGGAATTATATAATGAAGAAAATTCTAATAGAATCTGTGCATTAGATACTGGATAAGATGACAAATTTAAATTTTGTATCAGATATTAAACTTTTAGATTAGATTAGATTTTTTTTTTTTTTATTTTTCAACAAGTCGGCCATCTCCCACCGAGGCAGAGTGACCCAAAAAAGAAAGAAAATCCCCAAAAAGAAAATACTTTCATCATCATTCAACACTTTCACCACACTCACACATTATCACTGTTTTTGCAGAGGTGCTCAGAATACAACAGTTTAGAAGCATATACATATAAAGATACACAACATGTCCCTCCAAACTGCCAATATTACATGGTTGTACAGAGGAATATAATAGTTGGGTGTACATGCCAAAAGCCCCTCTGTATGCTGAGCATTTCGGGCAATAATACATAGTTCATATGGTCATTAGATGAGTTAGAGTGAGTTCAGGAGAGTTTAATATTATATCAGGTGCTGCTACATGGTTTAGAGAAGTCTAGTAGAGACTTTTTGCACTATTGAATAAGTTAATAAAGATTACAGTATTACAATGTAACAATTTAAAACAATTTACAGTGTGATGTATTACAGTTTAGTACTGTTTAAAACAATGAAATTTGGTATTACAATGGAACAATTTACATTATGATGTACTGTATTACAATCTACTACTATTTAAAACAGTGAAGAGAACAGACATCTTAATTTCAAAGTAGTAAGTGGTTGAGCATTCATCAGCACAATATGAGTAGCTTTTGAGAAACTGGTAGTGGTTAGGTATGGTTTGTTTGGTTAATTTTGGGTGATGAGGTGATTTCTTATTTGGGCCTTAAACTTATTTGCAGACAGGGGTCCTTTAGTTTGTTCTGGCAGTGAATTCCAGATCTTTGGGCCTTTTATGTGCATAGCATTTTTGCATAGGGAGAGATGAACACGGGGAATATCGAAGAGTGATCTGTGTCTCGTATTATGGTTGTGTGTTCTCTTACAGTTATCAAGGAGGAGTTTGAGAGGAGGGTTTAGATTAGAGTATAGTGTTCTGTGTATGTAATAGACACAATAATCATTGTGGATATTTTGTATATTTAGTAAGTTAAGACTCTTGAACAAAAGTGGTGGAGTGTGTTGTCTAAGGCAGGAGTTAGTAATCAATCGCACTGCAGCTTTTTGCTGGGTTATTAAAGGCTTAAAGTGATTTGCTGTGGTTGAGTCCCATGCACCAATACCATAGGTGAGGTAAGGGTAAATGGGAGAGTGGTACAAAGCTAGAAGAGCTGATTGGGGTACATAGTACAGTACCGTATCTTTGAAAGGATGCCTACTGTTTTGGAGACTTTCTTGGTAATTTGCTGTATATGTGTCTGAAATTTGAAACTGCAGTCAAGGTGGAGACCTAGAAATTTGCCCTCTGCCTGTCCTGAGATAGGTGAACCATTTATCAATATGTTTAGCTGTACATTTGAAGCTCTCTTTCCAAAAAGCATGAAGTAGGTTTTGTCAATATTAAGAGTAAGTTTGTTGGTAATCATCTAAGTAGATATTTTTAGCAGTTCAGCATTTACTGTGTCTGTTAGTATGGTTGGGTTTGGGTGAGAAAAGACATAAGTTGTGTCATCTGCAAATAAAATGGGTTTAAGGAGATTAGATGTGTTTGGTAGGTCATTGATGTAAATGAGAAAGAGAAGTGGGCCAAGAATGCTCCCCTGTGGGACTCCAACAAGAACAGGTTGTGTAGTGGAACAGGCTCCATTTGTGTATACATACTGGGTTCTGTTGTTAAGATATGATTTTAGGTAATCGAGAGTGTGTCCTCTGACCCCGTAATGTTCAAGTTTTTGGTGCAAGAGGTCATGGTCAGCTGTATCAAAAGCTTTTCGTAAATCTATAAACAGTTCCAGGGGAAATTAATTTTTCTCGAGTGCAGAGTATATTAGTTCAAGCATATGTATAATAGCATCATTAGCACTTTTTTTTGGTCTAAACCCAAACTGACAAGGGTTGAGTATGTTGTGGGATACAAAGTAGGAGTAGACTTGTTTGTGTATTAATTTTTCAAAGATTTTAGATAGTAGGGGCAAGTTTGATATAGGCCTATAATTGTTCAATTCAGTTGGATCACCTCCTTTGAGGATCAGGGTGACTCTTGCTGTCTTGAGTATGGATGGGAAGGTGGAAGATTCAATGGATTTGTTAAAAAGAATTGAATAATTGGTGACAACACGTGAGAAGCTTTTTTATACATGAGTGGTGGTAAGTTATTTAGGTCCCCTGTCTTCTTCTTTAGTGTTTTGATGATAAGCAAGATTTCAGTTGGGTTTGTTGGGGCTAAAAATAGAGTATTCGGGTAGTTGCCAGTGAGGTAATCTTTTGGTTGAATGTTTGAGCTTAGGGTTTTACTTGCTAGTTTTGTTCTTACGGTAGAGAAAAAGACATTAAGTTTGTTGGCAGTATCAGTTGGCTGTAGGAGAGGTTCATCTGGTTTAGCTAAGTTAATCAATCTGTTTTGTGACACATTTTTTGTTCCTAAAATTTCAGATAAGGTTTTCCAGGTCTTTTTCATATCACCTTTTATGTCATGAAATCTGTTTTCAGAATACAATTTTTTTTTTTGACCTCCTTATTAGATTGGTTAGTATTGATGAGTAACGTTTTGTGAGATCCTTTGTTATTAGACCCATTCTGCACTGTTTTTCATATAGATGTTTTTTATCAATAGATCTGAGGATGCTGTTTGAAAGCCAGGGGCTGTTTAGTCTCTTTGCTGTGATCTTAGTTTTTATTGGGCAATGCATGTTATAGAAGTTTTGGGTTTTTTGTAAAAAAAATATTAACACATTCATCAATATCGAAGTTGTCTGCTAGCTCGTTTTGCCAGTCAATGTCACTAAATACTGAAATAAAGTTATTAACAGATGACTTGTCGTGTAGTCGGAATGTGATCTTAGTTGTGTCCTGGGGCACTTTACACAAGTTGGTTATGAGAAAGATGGGATAGTGGTCAGTGGTTTTATTTGTGATTATGCCTGCTTTTAACAGGGATATAGTGTTTGTCCAGATATGGTTTAGTAATGAGGCATTTGTGTCAGTGATTCTTGTAGGTTTTGCTATTGTTGGTAGAAGTAAGCAACTGTTCATAGTATTTGTGAATTCAGTCACTTGTGGGTCATGGTCATGGATGAGATTTATGTTGTAGTTCCCTGTAAGTATTAGGTAGTGTTTGTTCATTTCAGCACTAGTTATTATGTTTCTTAGCTTTTCACTAAAAGAGTAAATATTGGAGTGAGGAACTCTATATATTGCTCCGACTGTTAGAGGTTTTGTAAGGTCTTTGGATTTAAATTTTGCAAAGGTATATTCTCCATGTTCATCCCTTGTGCAAGTAGAATTTATACACTCTAGTTCATCAGAGTAGTATATAGCTGTTCCACCTCCTAATTGTTCTGGCCTACAATTGTGTATGGCTATGTAGCCAGGTATGGAATAGATGTTTGTAACATCATGTTTTAGCCATGTTTCGGTGAGAGTAATGATAGACATACTGACATTTAGTGAATTCAGTAGTGCCTGGAGGTCATCATAGTGCTTGCTTAGTGATCTGACATTATAACTGAATACTGTTATGTTATTGTTGGCACTGAGTAGTGTCTTAGCCTGACTAGCAGTATAATAAAGGCAATTGGTGTTAGGATCATGTGTGTCATTTAATAAAAGGTTAATGTCAGGATTGATGTTTGCAATCATATGACTAATGCAAGTTTAACAATGTATAAATAGTATAAAGATAACTGTTTATGTTGCACTGGAGATGATATGAGAGCTTATACAAGCAGTACAGAGTGTAGGTAGCAGAACTATTCTACAGATTGCACAGATACTTAAAAAGCAATAATACAAAAAATATAAAGTTAAAAGATGGTAAAAAATTATCTTAAATAAAATTTAAATAGTAAGATTTGACTTAAAGCACAAAATTTAGGTAAGTAATAACACAAATTGTATGATTAGTAATAAAAAAAAAGAACTATTAAGACTAGGTATATCAACATTACCTAACAGTGAGATAAGACTTTTATAGTCAAGATGGGATGTGAGTAGTGGAAACAGTAGGGGCACTTGCTGTGGAGAAGAAAAATGAATACAGTAGTAGGGAGATGCTGCATATCTGGTTAAGTGATAACTGCATATGCTTCCACCTACCTCAGTGGAAGACAGCTGGTGTTTTAAAAATAAAATTGGTTACATGCAATATTTGTATATTACATGCTGACACTTTTGAACTTTATCATTCTTGCTCCTTGATCTTAAGCTAATTAGGGTAAAAGCTTTTTGGGCATAGTCTTAGGTGCTTTTTTTTTACATACCATCAGCTGTTTCCTAGCAAGGTAAGGTGACCCTGCAAAGGAAACATTCTCTGGTAGTATTTGTTTAATACCGGAGAATAGACATCAAATTTTTGATTAAATTTTTTTATAGTATTATAAACTTTTTAATAAAATGGCTTAATTTTCAGGCTTGTACTATCTGGACTCCTTGTATGAAAAAGTAGAACGTGTGGATTTGCCAGATGGAGGAAATCCACAGGTATTGCTGGAGAATGAACCTGAGCTTAAGTCTTTGAAGGTGTTCCAGAAGAGGCCAGGTGAGATGAGAGACATAAGTAAGTGGTCCACACTTGTTTGCTGCGTGCACTCCTCAAATCAAACATTGACACAAGTGCTTTTATGCTTTGTATCACATTTTCAGTATTCTTGATTTTCTTTGAATTCATTAAGTTGACTCTCGCTAATATCCAATACCATATATCAAGATTGTCTTATCATATGGCCTTTCTATAGGTCTGTTTATTAGTGTTTGAATGGTATGTTCTTCTGTCATCTACATACTCATGGGCCTTCACATTAAACTCCTTTACCCCACATTGGCTTCTTAGACCTGTTAACCCTTTCACTGTTCAGAACCCTGAAATTAACCCTTTGAGGGGTCCATCCCATAGTTCTATGGCTTTGAAGCCTGGGTCTAAGCCATAGTACTACGTCATGAGCTCAGCTCACTCAGATAAACTGTGAGCAGTAAATGTGGGCCTAGATATGAGAGAATGTATCTATGTGGTAAGTGTTCACCATATAAAACTTATTCTGCAGCACACAGTGCATAATGAGACAAAAAACTACGACTGTGTTTTTGGATTAAAACAGCGATTTTGCGGTTTATTTTCATATGTTTTTTACAGCTGTATTTGCGGTTTCTTGGTCTCATTTGATAGAATGGAACATATATTACAGAAATAATTTTGTTTGACTTTAGTACTGAAAATAGCTTAAAATTGAGCTGAAAGTAGTGGAAATGTTCAGTTTTTGCTGATGTGCAAGAGTAAACAAATCACATCAAGTGTCCAGTACATGTCAGTTGGTGGATCTGATGTGTGTTCACGAATATGCTGATATTATTTATACAATTATTACAATATTGCATAACAGTGAATCTATTTTTTGGTGTGAATAAAAATTCTTTATCTGAATAAAAAACCAAAATGGAATTCATCTGTAAAGCCTGGAAACATAACTAATAAACAGAGAAAATGTTACTTTAGTTCCAGGAATGCCTACTTCGTTTATTCTGAATCCTATTTTAAAACTGGAATATTTTGAACTTTGTGAAATTCGCCAAATTATCAATTTTCATTTACTTTATTGGGTAGTTGAAATAGTTGATTGAGCAATTTCTTGTGCTCAGTAGATAAAATGGAACACATACTAGTGAAATAGCTAAGAATTTGGTCTAAAGGAACAATGTAATTGACCGAAAATAGGACTCAAAGTGGGCAAAATTGCCAAAGCGTAAATATCGCTGACACAGCAAAATTTGCAAGAAGGTAATTTCATCAATTTTTGATCAGTTTTGTACATTTTTTTTTATTTTTTTTTTTTTTTTTATCACACTGGCCGATTCCCACCAAGGCAGGGTGGCCCGAAAAAGAAAAACTTTCACCATCATTCACTCCATCACTGTCTTGCCAGAAGGGTGCTTTACACTACAGTTTTTAAACTGCAACATTAACACCCCTCCTTCAGAGTGCAGGCACTGTACTTCCCATCTCCAGGATTCAAGTCCGGCCTGCCGGTTTCCCTGAACCCCTTCATAAATGTTACTTTGCTCACACTCCAACAGCACGTCAAGTATTAAAAACCATTTGTCTCCATTCACTCCTATCAAACACGCTCACGCATGCCTGCTGGAAGTCCAAGCCCTCGCACACAAAACCTCCTTTACCCCTCTCTCCAGCCTTTCCTAGGCCGACCCTACCCCGCCTTCCTTCCACTACAGACTGATACACTCTTGAAGTCATTCTGTTTTGCTCCATTCTCTCTACATGTCCGAACCACCTCAACAACCCTTCCTCAGCCCTCTGGACAAGAGTTTGGTAATCCCGCACCTCCTCCTAACTTCCAAACTACGAATTCTCTGCATTATATTCACACCACACATTGCTCTCAGACATGACATCTCCACTGCCTCCAGCCTTCTCCTCGCTGCAACATTCATCACCCATGCTTCACACCCATATAAGAGCGTTGGTAAAACTATACTCTCATACATTCCCCTCTTTGCCTCCAAGGACAAAGTTCTTTGTCTCCACAGACTCCTAAGTGCACCACTCACTCTTTTCCCCTCATCAATTCTATGATTCACCTCATCTTTCATAGACCCATCCGCTGACACGTCCACTCCCAAATATCTGAATACATTCACCTCCTCCATACTCTCTCCCTCCAATCTGATATCCAATCTTTCATCACCTAATCTTTTTGTTATCCTCATAACCTTACTCTTTCCCGTATTCGCCTTTAATTTTCTTCTTTTGCACACCCTACCAAATTCATCCACCAATCTCTGCAACTTCTCTTCAGAATCTCCCAAGAGCACAGTGTCATCAGCAAAGAGCAGGTGTGACAACTCCCACTTTGTGTGTGATTCTTTATCTTTTAACTCCACGCCTCTTGCCAAGACCCTCGCATTTACTTCTCTTACAACCCCATCTATAAATATATTAAACAACCACGGTGACATCACACATCCTTGTCTAAGGCCTACTTTTACTGGGAAATAATTTCCCTCTTTCCTACATACTCTAACTTGAGCCTCCCTATCCTCGTAAAAACTCTTCACTGCTTTCAGTAACCTACCTCCTACACCATACACCTGCAACATCTGCCACATTGCCCCCCTATCCACCCTGTCATATGCCTTTTCCAAATCCATAAATGCCAGAAAGACCTCTTTAGCCTTATCTAAATACTGTTCACTTATATGTTTCACTGTAAACACCTGGTCCACACACCCCCTACCTTTCCTAAAGCCTCCTTGTTCATCTGCTATCCTATTCTCTGTCTTACTCTTAATTCTTTCAATAATAACTCTACCATACACTTTACCAGGTATACTCAGCAGACTTCTTCTTCTTTCAACACACCGGCCGTATCCCACCGAGGCGGGGTGGCCCAAAAGGAAAAACGAAAGTTTCTCCTTTTACATTTAGTAATATATACAGGAGAAGAGGTTACTAGCCCCTTGCTCCCGGCATTTTAGTTGCCTCTTACAACACGCATGGCTTACGGAGGAAGAATTCTGTTCCACTTCCCCATGGAGATAAGAGGAAATAAACAAGAATAAGAACTAGAAAGAAAATAGAAGAAAACCCAGAGGGGTGTGTATATATGTGCTTGTACATGTATGTGTAGTGTGACCTAAGTGTAAGTAGAAGTAGCAAGACGTACCTGAAATCTTGCATGTTCATGAGACAGAAAAAAGGACACCAGCAATCCTACCATCATGTAAAACAATTACAGGCTTTCGTTTTACACTCACTTGGCAGGACGGTAGTACCTCCCAGGGCGGTTGCTGTCTACCAACCTACTACCTATAACTCAGCAGACTTATCCCCCTATAATTTTTGCACTCTCTTTTATCCCCTTTGCCTTTATACAAAGGAACTATGCATGCTCTCTGCCAATCCCTAGGTACCTTACCCTCTTCCATACATTTATTAAATAATTGCACCAACCACTCCAAAACTATATCCCCACCTGTTTTTAACATTTCTATCTTTATCCCATCAATCCCGGCTGCCTTACCCCCTTTCATTTTACCTACTGCCTCACGAACTTCCCCCACACTCACAACTGGCTCTTCCTCACTCCTACAAGATGTTATTCATCCTTGTCCTATACACGAAATCACAGCTTCCCTATCTTCATCAACATTTAACAATTCCTCAAAATATTCCCTCCATCTTCCCAATACCTCTAACTCTCCATTTAATAACTCTCCTCTCCTATTTTTAACTGACAAATCCATTTGTTCTCTAGGCTTTCTTAACTTGTTAATCTCACTCCAAAACTTTTTCTTATTTTCAACAAAATTTGTTGATAACATCTCACCCACTCTCTCATTTGCTCTCTTTTTACATTGCTTCACCACTCTCTTAACCTTTCTCTTTTTCTCCATATACTCTTCCCTCCTTGCATCACTTCTACTTTGTAAAAACTTCTCATATGCTAACTTTTTCTCCCTTACTACTCTCTTTACATCATCATTCCACCAATCGCTCCTCTTCCCTCCCGCACCCACTTTCCTGTAACCACAAACTTCTGCTGAACACTCTAACACTTCATTTTTAAACCTACCCCATACCTCTTCGACCCCATTGCCTATGCTCTCATTAGCCCATCTATCCTCCAATAGCTGTTTATATCTTACCCTAACTGCCTCCTCTTTTAGTTTATAAACCTTCACCTCTCTCTTCCTGATGCTTCTATTCTCCTTGTATCCGATCTACCTTTTACTCTCAGTGTAGCTACAACTAGAAAGTGATCTGATATATCTGTGGCCCCTCTATAAACATGTACATCCTGAAGTCTACTCAACAGTCTTTTATCTACCAATACATAATCCAACAAACTACTGTCATTTTGCCCTACATCATATCTTGTATACTTATTTATCCTCTTTTTCTTAAAATATGTATTACCTATAACTAAACCCCTTTCTATACAAAGTTCAATCAAAGGGCTCCCATTATCATTTACACCTGGCACCCCAAACTTACCTACCACACCCTCTCTAAAAGTTTCTCCTACTTTAGCATTCAGGTCCCCTACCACAATTACTCTCTCACTTGGTTCAAAGGCTCCTATACATTCACTTAACATCTCCCAAAATCTCTCTCCTCTACATTCCTCTCTTCTCCAGGTGCATACACGCTTATTATGACCCACTTTTCGCATCCAACCTTTACTTTAATCCACATAATTCTTGAATTTACACATTCATATTCTCTTTTCTCCTTCTATAACTGATCATTTAACATTACTGCTACCCCTTCCTTTGCTCTAACTCTCTCAGATACTCCAGATTTAATCCCATTTATTTCCCCCCACTGAAACCCCCCCTACCCCCTTCAGCTTTGTTTCGCTTAGGGCCAGGACATCCAACTTCTTTTCATTCATAACATCAGCAATCATCTGTTTCTTGTCATCCGCACTACATCCACGCACATTTAAGCATCCCAGTTTTATAAAGTTTTTCTTCTTCTCTTTTTTAGTAAATGTCTACAGGAGAAGGGGTTACTAGCCCATTGCT